GTTACACATTTTGAAAGCTCTTTCGTGTGTCAAACATTGACTTCATTAAGGCATTTATAAATGACTTCACTCATTCTGATCGACAGTGCTTACATCTGAGAATTGATCAAAGTTGCCCATCTCCTCATCTGAGTCGTCCTCCCAGTCTTTCCAGTTGTTGAAGTCGACACTGAGCCAAGTCAGCTGTAAAAACACAAAATAGTGGTTTTTCATTCATCACTTTCAAATATTGTGCATATATTTAAGTACATTGTGTCGTTAACTATTAGCATTTCAAATGAATGATACACACCTTAGCCTTCTCTTTTGTTAGCCTCGGCCATGGCTTCCCTGGTTGTGCCTTTTTTAGATATAACAACACTGAGCGATCTGTGCGTTTATGTTTGGATTCCTGCATTGGGGTGGACAGAAAACATAGAAATATTTGGTCAGTTTCATTTTGTACATTTCAATCGGCACAAGCTACATTTTCCAAAGCCATATTTATCAAAGCATTGATTCAGAGTAACTTACATTTTCATCGATAGCTTCAAAAAGGTCCATTTCGTTCTCATGTCTGACATCGTCGGTTCCTGCAAGACAACTGAGGGGGAGAAGACAAGACGTCATTATGGGGGAAATAAAAACAGGTATGGCATCAAATATAGGCATTAAAAGCAGAACCAACAGCAAAACATCCAACAAGGAACTCATGGTTAAATACAAATTGCCTTATTTTGTATAAAACTAAATAGATTTCTATGTTGATAAATAAATATGAATTCTATTGAATCCTAGTTATTGTGCAAACACCATCTCTTCTCAGGACAGAAAGGTTGGCTTCAGGAGGCTCAGAAGAACGAAAGTCACTGTATTACATCATCACTGAAGAGTAAAGGACAAATAACATCCCTTGGAAGTGTTTGACATGGTTGTAGTTTTTTGTGTAGCAATATCTTTAAATTAAATTCCTATATTGATTTATAAAATATTAAAAGTTACGATAAGTACTAGGTGGACAACCTTACCCGTTTTCCTCTAACAAAACCACACAGCCAGATATTTGTGTGGACAGATATGAAATGCCAAAGTGTATGTTACCAAGAAGTTATTATACTTGGAACATAGTAATAATTGTCATCACATTGCATTCTTGATGTGGAAATTTTGTTTTTTATTCATTTATTTGAGTTTATTAGATTGTTGTGTACTGCAGTCATGTGTGTGAGCAGAAAATACAAATATATACTGAAAACACACATGGGACAAACTTACCTAAAACCACACTTTGTTTTATCAAAATCGATTTTAAGGTCTTTGCTGTCTGCAACGCAGAACTCTATAAAAACGCAGTCCCTCCTATCGTACCACTTGGCAGTTGCTGGATGCCTGTGGAGAAAAGAAGGATATCAAAACATGCAACAAGTATTGATAATCTACACAAATTAAGCAACCACTTGTAAATCAACAGAAACAGAGCGCCTTTAGAGGGAGCTTTAAACAAGTTGATGGGCTCCGGAAAAAAACTAAAAACCTCTTTTTTGTTATATATATATATAAAAAGGTACAGCTCATCCGACCCACAACTTGCATAAAATATACATTATACAGGTCACATGTGCTGCTGACAGGTGGGTCATTCTTCAGGCACCAAAAAGCCTTTGCATCAGGTTGCCATGCAGCATCCAGTTACAGTGTGCTCCTGTGTCAAGAAGCCTCAACATCTCTGCAAGCTCAAATGTGAAAAGTCAAAGAATTAAACGTTTGAAAGTGTTTAGCATAACCTTTCCTACACATTGTGAAGATTAATGCAAACATCTTCACCTTGTAGCTACAAAAACTATAATAATGCAAAATGCATTTAATGAAGTCCTAACTGTAATAATTAGTTAAACTCAAATGAATTACATTCCGAGATCTTTCTTACTTATAAACGCCTTTCTACACTGAGAGAACGCATTGCGAGATGTGTGATTGTTCCCCCACTATTAAATGAGATGTAATGCTACAGGGCAGTGGTTAGAACATTGATCAACGACGTAGTTTGTTTATTAGTGATTTATTTATTTATTTAACTACAGGAGTGATAGGGATTTCCTCTATTGCACGTTTGCCCATGCAATTGTACTATAGGAATTAAACGGAATGATAAGCTAAATCCTCCAACACATTAACGCGGACCAACCATTTCAGTGCGTGGAAGCTAGCCTTAAACACAAATGTTGATTAAACGTTGCTCAATCCTTTCAGAACTTTGCAATTAGGCCGATATCTCTCCACATGGTCAACTTTGATTTTCACATGCAGATCCCAGATATTATTTGTAATGCTTTAATCATGAAAAAAACCTGATGCTAATCTAATGATAGCAAGGCTAACAAGGCTGACGTTAGCCACTACGCTGGTTAAGCCATGCGGTGCACCTTGCCTAAGTAGCTGCATTTTTTTTCAGCTAATGCTGGGTCTGCAATAATAACTGCTACGGTACATTGTGTTAATTTACTTAGTCCACGAGGTTCAAGCTAGGTAGCGAGTTACCGTTAGCTTACAATTCATTGTGGCAAGGCCAACCTCCCGCCTTTGCACAAGCATGTTGTCAGGCGGCTAATATTAGCTACCTAGCTAGCTCAGCAGGTTGTACTATCGCACTTAGCATCCTCGTGTTAACTCTCCACAACTTACATGTCTCGACGTGAAGTGCGCTTCTTGTTCGTAGATAAAACAGTCACGGGAAAAGAAGGGCAATGCCTGCAAATGAAGGGGAATGTATGCTGCCCACTAACAAGTAATGCAAACGCCTCTCGTATGATGTGGACTCTACTCCGGATCTTGTTGCGTATCCCGGGATAAGAATGGCCGCACTGACGCAGTTAGAACGTACTAGACGTTTCTAGAGTGTTCAGCTGCGGCTGATGGGAGGCCGCGTGTGATCGGGTGTGGAGCAAATCTAATGTGATTTACTATGGGTTCAGTTAGTACCACCCAGTAGGATCGCCTCGAATAAACTGAATGAGAGAGGAACTCACAGATGATATAGAGGATTTCTGGTTAGAGGAAATATAGACGATATTGCTTTTACGACATTTGAGTAGTCGTGTGAACGTCATCTCTGATACTATACTCCTATTACTAGAGCTACTACTATTCGTACTAATACTACTACTTATAATAATAGTGACGAGCTTATTAAAATGATAGGGCTGTCTCTTTTCCTAAGGTTACTTATCGTAAAAAGTCAGATTTGCATTCCTTTTTTTATTAAAGTATGCACAAATACTATTTAACTACCGAGTGCATTTAAACATTTTTAATTAAATGAAACGTTTCTATTAATTTATTCTGCCGATTCTTTTATTAGGTCTAATCAATTCATGAACAATTGGGATCATTCTAATCAGCATATTCAAATATCTTGATTTGTGATTACATTAACATCAAATATTAATAAAATAGGTGCAAATGTACTACATTAATCGAAACAACTCTTGCCCCTGTGTAGCAGTTATTGTAAAAAATAAATAAATTAAACAATAGGAATATCAATGAAGAGGGACTTTAAACCTCGCCCTTTTTTGCCAGATGTATGCTGTTAACCCATCTCAGTTCACACCATGGCACCACACTTGCATATCTCTCTTTATCATGTTAGTGTTTTGGCTCTATGATCCATTGGTTTAAAAATGTGAGGAATGCCACCTCACTTAACTATCTTATAATGAGGGCAGAATGAAAGATAGCATACCTGTTTCACATCCTAAGAGGGCAAGTATTGTGAGGGTGTGGCAGGAGAAAGCTACCAGCTCCCTCCACACCCAGGCAGGTTTATAGGCTTTCTTTCAGATTGAGTAACAATTTTATAATGGCATGCTGGGAGTTTGGTATTAAACTCAATATACCTGCATTTATAACAAGCTATCATATCCTAACGAGTGCAACAAATTATACACAAAGAGAGCACGTTGTTTGCAGATAGTCCTGAGTAATCAGCTTGTCTTCTGTAGTTTAAGATAAATATTCTTGGTAATTTGGATGACACATTTATACTGAAAGAAACCCTGACATAAGGGTGAGTGGATGTTTAAAGATGCATGAGGCCCCTATAAACAAAAGGATCTATGAAGTCGGGGTATTTTTGGCCTTGGTGCACCAATGGTGGACATTGTCTCACCAAGTGTCTCTTCACCACAGAATGATACAAAATGGAGTCCTGAGCATCAGTTTTTATTTTAGAGTATGCTTACAATGCAGCCGACATTATGGCTGTCCAAGATTACGCCTTCAATAATAACCGAGGGAATTTATTCGTTATTCATGCCATGATTTGAGTTTTTAACAAGCCGTTTTATGGTGATGAGAAGTAAATATTGACATTTTGTTAAACACTTAGTAATACCATTCGTTTTCTTGTAAACACATTTTATTTGTTGGTAGTGTATGTTAAATCCAGCTGTTTACCAGCGTGCCGCATTCCTTTTGTCTTTTCTGGCTCATTGCTGAACATCATTGGACGTTACAGACCCCTGTTGATCAATTTAATAGCATGACAACTTTGCAAGTCATCTGCATACATGAGATAAAGAACACAGGGACTTATTCTGGGAAACATTGTAATTGTCACTCCACTTGAGTCTGAAGTTGACGCTGTAGTTCCCAATTGTCAGATTTAGATTTGAATGAGAAAAACCAAACAACATATGACACATTAAGAACCTGTGGTGTCCCTCTGTGAACTCTGAAAAAGTAATGTGAAGTTGCTGTTTGCTGAACACGCCTCACCTAGTACTATTTTAGAGGTCAAATAATATTTCACACAAAATATTAGAAAACAGTCCAAAGGATAACAATATAGAACCTTTTTTCTTTCATATCCCATGACTCAAGGAACTATACATTTAAATAATAAGTCTCTTGTTCATTCATGATTTCTGCCCTTCTCTGGCCTCAACTAAATTAAGAAGCATTCCTGCAACCCAGCTACAACAAAATGCCCCGATTCCCAATGAAGAACAAAAACATCAAAATTACATTTTATCAAGCCACAACTTTATTTCCATCTTGGGTATAAATTGTATAAACGAGCTCAAATCAGCAACCTTTCTTTAACCCTTTTGTGCCAGGGTCCCATTACATTGTCAACTCCTGCAAGAAAGGAACAAAGATGGTTCATTAACATGTGTTGATTTATGTTTTAACACAATTGTAAGAATATTTCTCTTCTCAGGACAGAAATGTGTCTTCAGTAAACTCAGAAGAACGAAAGTCACTGTATTAAATCATCACTGAAGAGTTTTCTATACACGTTTATCTACAGAAGTATGAGCAAACCATTTAGAATGGCCTGATGAATCAAATTGTTTTACAACTATTAGATACAATTTTATAAATCTTACCATAATAGCATTGACGATGTCATTGTTGTTGTTTTTCAGAGCGCGTACAGCCTTCGCTCGCGACACGTTGGCTTGTGACATAACGAGTTCGATGTCCTTGACCTCAACTCCGGTCTCATCCACCTTGAAAAATAAGGGCAATGTTTTGTTACATGATAACAAAAAAGGGTTTGTTTCCTCCGAGAGTTCCCTTGAATAAAACTGTATCTCACCTCTTCTTCTTCGCTCTCCTCCTGTACTGTTGGCGTCTGTGTGTTTTCCTGGATGTTTGAAACTGCTTCTCCCTGTACCTTGAACTTTTCTGCGGCAGCCAGCTGGGCCTGCTGGGAAAGATCTTCGATCTAGGGAACAAAGAGTAAAATGAAACATTATTTCAGAACATCTTCACTTGAGAACCTTTTTGTAACATTTTGACCCCACCCAGTGGTACGCATTCATCTTGGTTACATACCTTAGCTTCACCGAAGACGATGTATGTGTCTGATGCAGGGCTCTTGTAGACGTCTGGCTTGGTGATGACAAACAAGATGTTCTTTGACTTGCGAATAGTGACCCTGGTGACGCCCGTTACCTGCCTGAGACCAAGCTTTGACATTGCCTGCAAGAAATACAAGTCATATTACAAATTTGTCCAATTCTGAGCTTCAAGGTAAGTAGAACAGTGCAAATGATGTAAATGAAACCGTGTAAGATAATTACCTTTCGTGCTTTCTTTTCACTGCGGCTCTGTTTGGCTTTGCTGACAGGTTCCTCGTCTATTTCAGCTGCTGCTGCAAGCTGTAAGAGATGACATTCATCCACATTTTAGAATGGTTTAAAATAGGTTTATGTAGATCAGGAAATCTGGGGAATTTAATTGAATCCTAGTTATTGTGCAAACACCATCTCTTCTCAGGACAGAAAGGTTGGCTTCAGGAGGCTCAGAAGAACGAAAGTCACTGTATTAAATCATCACTGAAGAGTAAAGGACAAATAACATCCCTTGGAAGTGTTTGACATGGTTGTAGTATTCTTTCAGGATATTTAAGACCACACTGAACTCACCTGAGCCTGCTGTGTCTGTGTCTGTGCAGAGTCCTGTTCCTCCAGATCAGGGACTGAGTCATCGCTGTCAGACTCGGTACCGGATCCTACAGGAACCACCAACAACAAACAATTGTAAGTCACAACAAACAAACCATTACATATGTTTACTAGCAAGAAAATATGCTGCATCAATCCTGGAGAAGGGAAATGGGCATGTTAAAAATTGTTCAAAATACACTATAAATATGTTTATTGGTACCCCAGAGAAACTCACACCTACCTAGAATGTGGAACATTTTCAATAAAAATTAAACTCAAATAACCAATAAATATGCAAAAGGGTCACCATGATCACAGCAAATAAACAAATGTGTACTCCGTTTAAAACAATACCATCTTCATATCACATTCACCAGACATCTCCACAAACTAAATATAAACTATTAGACCACACCATTGAACTACACAACATCGTTGAAAGTATGCAAGAGAAATAACGGTTTTCCAATAAAATGATCCATGTAGGAAGCTTCTTAAATTAACTCATTAAAATCTAAAGCAAAGCTAACATTTACTTCACAACCTTGACTTTAGTAGAATTACCTATCTAAGCATCAGTAGAGTTCTCAAAACAGTGACAGGAAAAACAGCAGGCATAAAAAGAGAGAAGAAAATACCCTTGTTGTTCTTGATCACAGGTTCCACCTTGACTGGGGTTTTAGCAGTTTTGGGTGGCGAGATGGGCTCAGAAGGTGTGACTACCTCAACCACAGGTTTAACAGGGGCAGGTTTTGCAACTGCCTCAGCAAATGAAAGTTTATGGGGAGCTGGGGAAGGAACAGCTGGCTGAACTGGAGCAGGTTTTAAGGGAGCAGATGAGGCATCAGCTTGTGGTGTGGAAGGCATGGCAACCTCAGCAGGCACCGCCTTAACCTCAACCATTGCTGGCTTTTCACACATAACAGGGGCTGGCTTGGTAACCTCAACATGGGCAGGTTTAGGTTCTGCAGCTGGTTTAGCAACCTCAACATGGGCAGGTTTAGGTTCTGCAGCTGGTTTAGCAACCTCAACAGGAGCAGGTTTAAGCTCAACGGGAACAGGTTTGGGCACGTCAACATGAGCAGGTATGGGCACGTCAACCTCAACATGAGCAGGTTTGGGCACGTCAACCTCAACATGAGCAGGTTTGGACACGTCAACCTCAACATGAGCAGGTTTAAACTCAGCTGCTGGCTTAACCTCAACATGAGCAGGTTTGGGCATGTCAACCTCAACAGGTTTGGGCACGTCAACCTCAACATGAACAGGTTTGGGCACGTCAACCTCAACATGAACAAGTTTGGGCACGTCAACCTCAACATGAGCAGGTTTAAACTCAGCTGCTGGCTTAACCTCAACATGAGCAGGTTTGGGCATGTCAACCTCAACATGAGCAGGTTTAAGCTCAGCCGCTGGCTTAACCTCAACATGAGCAGGTCTGGGCACGTCAACATGAGCAGGTTTAAGCTCAGCTGCTGGCTTAACCTCAACATGAGCAGGTCTGGGCACGTCAACCTCAACATGAGCAGGTTTAAGCTCAGCTGCTGGCTTAACCTCAACATGTGCAGGTTTGGGCACGTCAACCTCAACATGAGCAGGTTTAAGCTCAGCTGCTGGCTTAACCTCAATGGGAGCAGGTTTAGGCATGTCAACCTCAACGGGAGCCTCTACTGGAGCAGGTGTGGGTTCAGCAGTTGGCTTAACCTCAACAGGAGCAGGTTTGCTTGGAGATACCTCTTTAGCAACCTCTTCAACAATTTTCACCGGGGCTGTTATAGGCACAGTCATTGGCTTCACAGGTGGGATAAGTGGAGGGAGATCATCAGTTAATGCAAAATCAGGGACAGGGCTTGGTAAAGCTTTCTTAACCTCAACAGCTGCAGGAGGGCTAGAGGCAAGAGCTTCTGAAAATGAAACTGGGGGTGCCACAGCAGGCTTTGAGGTAACTTTGAAAGCAGCTGGGCATACAACAGGCTTTGCAGCAGCTGCTGGGGCAGGTTCGGCTTCAACTATAATTTGCTTGGGGCTAGCCTCTACTGGTTTTTCAAGAACTGGGGTGACTTTGCACTCTACAGGGGCCGGAGCAGGCACAAATGCCTCTCCCTTCATAGCTCTTCCTTGTTTGCCAGCCTTGACAACTTTTGGGGTAAAGCGGTTAGCCTGATTAGCAGAGGGGCCCCCAGGAGAGCCAGCTAGGGGCGATGGCACGGGCGACAGGGGAGTAGTGGAGGAAGTAGATTTTGGTGAGGTGGGAGAGGAGGAAGAGGCAGACAGAGAGGAGCGTTTTCTTCTGCCAGGGACAGCCTTTGGGGCAGAGGAACCCTGCGGATTCTTGGCATCTTTGCCTTTGGGCTTTACATGGCCAGTAGCAGCCTGAGGTTTCAGGGTCGCAGCTTGGGCAGGAGGTGTAGCTGAATAGAAAAGTAATTCTTTAAAAAATATTGCTGGTAAAGACTTACTCATGCGGATTAACTCATCAAACCAAAACGCAATCTCCTTGCTTAGGGTTAGGAAAGGGACACACCTGCCTAACAGACTGATGCAAAACCACAACTCAAAATGCACAGTACTTAGCACCACACATGAGAGCACATTATATATTTAGTCAGGATGCAAAAAGGGAAAACCATACTTTCAATGCATATCACACTACCACATCACAATAGCACTTACTCATAGAAAATGCATAAACGCACCAAAGAATGGACCAATGAACAAGTTCTTTAAGGTAGGACTGACCGACACCTGGCCGAATTGTAAGATTTTAATTTTAAACTTAAGTAGATTTTATAATTTCCTCTCAACCTATTTAACAAACTGTATAAGGAAAAAAATACTTAAGTCCAACTAAGGAGTACCTAGTCATTTGTTATAAGAGTGAAATAAAAACTACCGCATTAGCAACAATTTCAGATGAGGCAAAAAAGATGCAACTTTAAATAAAGGACCCAGAGAAAATCCACTGTAAAAGAGGACGCAGGAGCATTATACCTTTGTACCTGCCACATTCATGTTACCATCTGTGAAAGAATAAGCCCACCCTGATCAGAAAGATTCATAAAAAAAAAAAAAAAAACTGACAAAAAGAGGGGAGGGCCTGTTTTTTTTTAAGGATAAACCAACCTGAATGGTGGCGAGTGGAAAGAGATGGGATGTGGTCACATTTGGAGGGCTGATTTGACTGAATGGCCTTGGTGAGAAGAGTAATAGCATCTTGCTTGTCCAGATCTTCATTTACGGTAGGCGGGTCGACAGTCACTTCAGCAGGCAACACTTCATCATCAGCTGCATCCAGGCAAAGATTCCTCAAGTTTTTAATCTCCGTCTGTGGAGAATCTTCACTGCTGGCACCGATATCTTCAGTAACAGATGGTTTCGGTACATCAGGAATTTCTTCTGCCATTGCACTGGGCTCCTCTTCAGTGGTCTTTGCTTCAGTAGTAGATGGTTTCGGTACATCAGGAATTTCTTCTGCCGCTGCACTGGGCTCCTCTTCAGTGGTCTTTGCTTCAACAGAAATCTTTTCAACCTCCTCGATGGCAGTTTCTTCAGTAGCAACAGCAGACTCTTGACTTTGTACCTCTTTAGCTGGAACTGCTTCTTCAAGAGCTGGTGGCTCTTCTGCGGAAACAATGGGCGCTTCGACAGCAGGCAAAGATTCTTCTGGAACTGGCATGTCAGCTGAAGCCCCTGCTGGTTCAGCAGTCACCTCTTCCTGTGTGACAGGTGTGGCCACCAACCCAGTCTCTTCAGTTTGCTCAGTGATGTCTTGAGTCGCAGCTACACCATTTGCTTTATCATCATTGGTCTGAATGCTAGCTTCTTCTGTGAAGGCTATCGCTTGAGCAGGATCAGAAGTTTCTGTAGGATTCTCCAGTGGGATTGTTTTGCTCACAGGAATGGTCATCTCAGGGGGAGCGGAGAAATCCAATGCTCCTTCAGCTGATTAAGGAGTATCAACAGGAGTAACAGGGGGGGGGCAATCACAGTCATTGTTTGGTGAGTAATTCAACGTCAACGCAAATTTTGAGAGCTTCAAGAATACACCGTGAAGTGAAAAAGAAATTGTGCTCCAAACTAGGGCTGAACGATTCGGGAAAATGAGCGGATTTTGTTTTAAAACCAATGTTTCGATCAATCACAGCAGGAAATTACTGTAAGCCATGGTAACAAGTAATCTTATCATGAAGTACTTTTAAAATCTGGCAGAATAATCAATAAGTCAAAATCTTATTAACATGTAAACTGTTTGATTCAGTTTCCACATCCAATTCTGAGGTGCAGCGTTTCTATAAAATAAAAATGGACGTTTTCAAATTTGCGTTTGATTACTTTGCGACGCCGGTTGAAATTCGGTTTATCGTTCAGCCCTATCCCAAACGTGAACAGAACGACGAGTTTGTAAGAAGTTAATCTACGTGTTATTGGCACTTGGTATGCCAAAGTATAACAAAGAAAGGGGTGTTAGGTGCAGTAAGTAAAAGACAAAAATAGGCCCAGGTCCCAAACTCCATGCAGTGTGCATTTGTGAGATAAACAGAGAATATTTAGACAAGTATGCATGAAAACAAGTGATTAATCCATTTACTAACATAAATGCTTGAATTAGACAGCTCACCATGTGTGATTTATTTTACTGATGAAAGGCTTTGTGGAAGTGTTACTTAAAGTCTAGAAATCACTTTGCAAGCCAATACACAGCCCTTTTATCCAAAAATGAGAGCATTTCGGTCAGCAGAAAAGGAGGGCTATGTGTTATAATGTACACACAATCCTTATAAAAGAATAACCCAAAACAAGTGCGGGCCTTTTAATTTTAAGTGTCTAGTGCTGACTCACTTGGGGGTGAAGTTACATCAGTATTAGCTGTTACCATTGAGGCAAACACAAGTATTGAAATATGGCGCCATTCCTTTTCAAACATCACCTGAACTGCTCTTTAGTGTTGTTGGTCATCTTTACAAAATAAAATGGGATGTTGCACCAAAAAAGTGCACAATTAACTACATTGGCACAAACATGTAATTAAAAAAAAAATGTGAAATGTGTATTTAAGAATTGTCAGTATTTTCTTGCTCCTACCTGATATAAAACTAACTCAAACACATCCACGATAAGAGTCTTCTCTAATATGGATACAGACAAATCTATACATTTTATTAACCAGTAATTGCCCCATTTTTGGTCAAAAGAAAAGCGTTGCCAACTGCTGACTTTCAAAAGATGTCCATATTACCATGAAAAAAACAATACAATTTGTTCAAAAATGAGCAGCTGGAAAACGTAAATAATTATCCTAGATTATTTCTTGGTCTGTCAAAAAAAATACAAATCCCAGATAAACACAAAATGTTTTTTAAGGCATTTATCGTGCAAAGGGAAAACCACACTAAACACCATGCATTGTGTGCTAAATCCAGTTGTAAGTGCAAGTCACCGCACACCATTGTGAGTCTGTAAATAAAAAGAGGGGTCCTGGATTACCATTTTCAAGCCAAGCTGAGCAATATCACCACTGCAGATTCCTCAATGGGCAATCCTCCCTTACAAATGTCCCAACAAATGGCTGGTGAAAATAACCATCACCTGTTACATCAACTCAGCGTCCAGCCAGCTGAGTAAACTCACTGAACCAAATTATCCTAAAAATGCAATATTGCTCTTTTACTCAACAAATTGCCTTCCGTAGAGGGCCATTTGTTGAGCAATTTGACCCTTTCAGGAGACCCAGGACCCCGTTGTTTAATATGCATTATGGCATGCCTGTTAAGTTAAAATATACGAACCGGTCTCCACTTGAGGCTGCTGCATCTCCTGCTCGGTGACTGGGACCGTTTCTGTTGCTTCACCAGGCATGGTTGCTGTATGGGGAAATAAAAATACATTTAGATTAACTCAAAAGGGAACTCTTAATACATGCCAGTATTGGATCATTACTATTAGCAAGGATAGTAGCCAGAATATTTTTCTTTTTCAATCAGCTATTCAGAGTCCTGCTGTACACCAGTATGGTCAGCCTCTGTTAAGCTTATAGTTAAATATGGAAAGCAATCATATCCAAAGGTGTATGAAGATAATGATGTTTATATTATTTTGGTAAACTCTTATAAAAGGTAGACTTGTTAACGGCATCTCTTCAGACTTGTATAATGTTGTTAACAGAGAATACCAGCTGCTGCCCTCCACTAGGTTTATTTACAGCCCCTCCAGTTAAACCCAGATATTCATTTAATACAACAGCTCTCTTTCTGAATAAAAAACACACCCCAAGTTGACTGCTAACTGAGAATTGTATTCAGAGCATAAGTGATATTTTAAATGGTCATGAGCTTTGTACGTCTATGAAAAGTGTCTAACTGTGATCAACCTGTGTACCCTTCTTGAACAAAACTATCTAAAGAAATACATTGAAGTAAAAACGGACAACAAAGTTGGAGCGTAGTTAGCCATTTAGAGAGTGACTTGCAGCTGAACAGGTGACCGAGCCCATGCTTTAGCTTCGTCTGTACTCTTGTTGAAGCAACATTAGCTGACGTTAGCTTCGGTTAGCTGACAGCTGGTGGCAGCCTCAACAGGAGAAAATCTTACGGCGAATAACAAAGACTACTATTTCCTTTTAAACCCACATCTGAAGGTGACACAAATAAACCTAACAGCACCAGACAATCTGCTCACTGCGGCCCTGACAGGCTGCTGGTAAACTGGAAGTCATAATGTCCCCCCATTTTGAGCCTCTGATCGGCGTCACAACGGCTCATTTATCGCTTTACAGAGGAACGAAAAAAGACAAATATCTACCTCAGCCTGATACTGCTACTTCACTTTAACGCACAATACCACTAATACACACGATAATAAGTGACAAACTGCTGGATGATGTTGGATTATGAACGGAGACACTCACCGATTCGGGATGCTATATCCAAGATGGCTGTGAGAGAGAACTTCTGACCTCAGCTCCGCGGTAATATCCGGTACAGAGCAGGGAGTTCTACTTCCGGGGCACTTTAAGGCACAGGAAGTCATTTTTTTGACTGTCGAAAAGATAATACCGTAATTTCGACATAATAGTAAATCATTAACATAATAATTGAGAACCTGAACTTCTACAAAAAATATATATTTATAAATCCTACCACATGTAAAATAAAAATGTGATTGAAAAATACTGTAAACCACTAGATACTCTCAAATATCCTCTGAGAAAGTTTCTCAATATTTTGAGAAATAACTCATATTTTGAGAACGTTTCTTATTATCTTGTGATAGTACCTCATATATTTTGAGGTTTGTCATTATTTTGAGATACTAACTTTCATTTTGAGGTTTCTCATAATTTAGAGAATGTACAATAGGCTACTTGTACTTTTGATTATTTGTAAAACAGTGTTATTAGGTTATCATTACTCCATTGCATATCAGATGGAAATCATTTTCACTCAACTACATTTATCTGTTACAGCAGTATTTTACTTTACAGATACAGACTTTACAAACAACGATTTGTTGGTTATTTGTCTATTATAAACTAAAAACCCATAAGTATACAAAGTTAAAACTGGCTCTACTATCCCAGTAAAATACTGCTTATAAACCAGTTGTAAAATAATCAAATGATATGAATGATTGCTTAATTATTTGTTATCTTTGCCAATAGTATCTCTGATATTTCAGTACTACATAGAAACGTTTCTGAGTGATTTATGTATTCTGTTATACTATGATCTGATAATCCAGGATGCTTTAGTTGATTTTCTAAAAATAATGGGTTTATTGTATTCTTGCTTGAATTTATGGTATCTGGTTAACTCATGCAGACTGGGCATAATTATCTTGATGATACTATGATTAAAAAAAACGTCATTCATGTGTGTATATAATTATTCTTAGTACATATTTTTGATTGTAATATTTCTGCGCTTTTGTAAACTTCTGAATGCAAGACCTTTATTTGTAATGGAGTATTTTTACTCTATCATATTGTTAATCATTTATTCATGCTGTACTTACAGATATCACTGATGTAAACAAAGATCTGACAACATCTAAAATCAACATAACCTTTACAGAACGGTTGGATAGTTGAATCTATAACAATAAATACAAATATGTATAGGTGAAAATTGTAAGCAACAATATTGCAAACCGTTCTCATTTAAAGTAAGTAAAATACAAGATTTTGAAAAAGTTGAAATACCAAATTTATTTTCACAAATGACTGTACAATAGAAGAACATAGAAAAAAGCAGACAAACAGCATAGCATTGGTAATGTAGTAGACAAAACCTGCAGTAAGGAGATGTTCTTATGTGGAGGAAATTATTGTACATCAAAAAATAGAAACTTCCCACCCCAACACAGGACCGTTTGTATCGTCTCCCATATTAGTGATCAGGAAATATTAACAATGTTTTGTCTGTATCACTTTCTGATCGTTGATCCAGTTCAGAAGTCTTTCTGAAGATCTAAAAGAACAGAAGAAGAAAATAATTACATGAAAGAACACACTTCATATAGAGACGCTTATTTAATCCAGGAAAAATAAAACTTACCACTCTTTTTAAGAAGTTCTCCTTTCCATGAGCGAGCCATCACATCCAGAAACTGGTCAAAGCATTTCACATATTTCGCCAGGCTTGTTCTCTTGTAATCTGTCAAGAAAAGAAATCAGTGAGCTGCTAGTGAGGTTTTCAAAAGGAGCTTTGAATGTCTCTTATTATACCTTATCACATTTCTGTTTTTTTTTTTTTTTTAAATCAACTTTCTTAAATCAAAAGTCCTCAGTCGCCTCCCTCTGTGTGCGAGTGCTGGGAGAGCAAACTGTTTCTGATTACAGGGCAAATGTGTTTCTTTCTGTTTTTATTTGAATTAGTTTTCACTTTTGGACTTTTCAATGATCTGTGGTTATTTCACACACGTTGAAAACAATGCTTTGCAGCCACCACTGGCTTCTAATTCTAGAAAAGTATTATACTAATAATATTTGTGTGGCCTAATATTTATCTGCATCTGTGCGGGAATAACACATTTGAACATAACTAATAGATATGCAAACATTTAAAAAAGCATTTAAATGTTGATTTTAAACATTATATATATTAAGCTGCGTTCTATTTGGTACAGTCCTAATGATAATCATTATAAAAAACAGGTCATGGTTGATTTGACCCTTAAGCCTTATTTTGAGCCAGGAAAAGCGAGCAAAATGACCTTGTGTTAGCCTGTAACTTAAAAAGGGATGGTCATTTGTGAAATTTACGATGAGTTATTTGAGAATCTCACCTCTGATCTTTCGACTCTCTGCTGCGTCCTTCTCGTTTTCCTTGTCATTTGTCTCCTCTGACTTCTCCTCCTCTTCGACTGTCCTGGGACGATCCAGCTCCTCACAGATCATACTAAAAAATAAAAAGTTATGATATAAGCTCTGACGATTTTCAATCACTGCAACAACAAAGCATGGGACAGTTCACTATCACTAACCTGATGGTGGGCACAGCAAAAGGATCAAAGGTGTCCAACTCTTTGAGGTCGATGGGAACAGAAATGCGGCCTGGCCAGAGTTCAAAAGGGAAAAATTACATTAAGACTGTGTCATTAATAAACACGCCATCTACATTAAATCACATTAGATCTAGGCTTACCTGTTTTGGGATGGACACTGAAGGGGCTCTTCAGCAAATGGTTCACTCCTTTACTGACGTTCACATCGAGCCGGGGGGTAACAATACTGCAGCATGATCTCTTTCTCAAAGTGTTGGCCCTTTTTGGAAGTGCCCTTTAGAAAGAAAGATTACATTGTTGTGACTTTTTATAACAACCTCTATGGTGGTCATATTTGAAAAAACTAATCAAAGTCACGTTGTAATATGAAGAGACTGTATGTAATAAAAACTTAGGATAAGAAATATAATGTGTACATTTATTTCCCCACCTTAATGACTTTAGGGTTTATCAAACATAAAATAAGCTACTCCATTTGCATAGTCTTCTCCTTGTAGAACACTGATCAAAACATTTTAAATCATTGTGCTTTCGTGTGTAATTAATTCTAAGAAATGTGTCGTCTTCAATATGGCCCCTGAGTCCCATTGATTTTAGATTGATAGATTATTAGTTTAGTGACTAGTGAGCAGTATTACCTGTTTCCGTTTGGCTTGGTCCTTCAACAGATTCCAACGGTTCTCCGGTTTCTTCTCGTTCTGAAAGTCCTGCTGTAACTGTTTTCTTACATGTAAATGCTTGAGTTAAGGTCAGGTAAAGTTATTTTCATAATGTGTTGAACAAGAAAAGATTATACTCTCATGTTTGAATCACATTCGATTTGAGAGAAATAAAATGCGGTGTTTTCCATCAGCTATTGGCTCTACTGCATGTTGTGAAAAGGATATCTTCAGGTGTGAGTGCCAGCACTTTGTCCACAGATTCCTTACGACCCAGTATGTCCTGGTCCTGTAGTGCGTACAGGGGGAAGTATCGCTCCACCACCACCAAAGACTCTCTGCGGAAATCACAGGTAGAGACTTTCAAACAGCTGAAGCAACAACATCAGTAAGAGGCAACAACCTCAATAACAGTCGGTGTAATTATACACAAAAAACGCAACAGAAAAACTGTTACAGCCTCAAATTCACTTTACTGACAAAAGGATTGGCTTCTTACTTGATAAAGGGATGAATTGGATCTGAGAGCACTACTTTCTTCATCGTCTCATCACCTCCCTATAAAGACAGCAGTGAATAGAGCACAAGATATTGTGTTATTGACCCCCATGCCGATGCGAATATTTCAGAGATATGATGGCCTGAAAGAGACAGACAGATACACTAAACCCAACACCCTGCTGCTCATAAATAAATCTGTCTTATTTATCTTATTAAAAGCCTAAAAATACTGTTACCTTAATCAGGCTGAGGTATTCTGCCACTGCGGAGCGTGCTGCTACCGAGAGCTTCCTGGCCGCTTCATCACACACCCAGCAATGCACTCCTCTTCTGCCAGAATAAACCCACAGCAGGTGCTGGAAACCAAAGTCATCTAGAAGATCACATAAATCAAAAAGTGTTAGACACCTGTTCTGCAGAAAATAGAAAATGACAAGACAAAATGATTGACAAACAAACCTCGAAGAGCTCTATCCAGGACGCGAATGGCGATGGTCATCAGGGTCCAACACTTGGGGCAAATCTCTGCAGCACTAAAAGGAGAGTTTGTGTTATCTCAGTTAGGGCTGTAATCATATTTTAATCACAATTACGATTTTGGCCTGCCACAATTACGAAAACAACATAATCGAAAAAAACGATTATTTTGCTTTGCTAGGTTGTGACAGTGCACTGCAACATATTTGATCTAATTTATTTGGATTTATCATATTAGTATATGTTTAGTAACTTGTGGAAGTGCGCTCCAAAATATTTGTTGATCTTGTTTATTGGTATTTATTATTTAATTAAATTTAAATATAAATGTATCATTTTATTTTATTTATTTTTGTATTGGTTTTTCAGTTGAATTATACGTTCAGGGTAATCAACAGTTAAAAAGATACTGTTCAAATTATTATTTGTATTTGTTTTAAAGTTCAAGAAATGGATGTTTTCAAAGTCAATGAATAATCGTATTTAATAATCGTTATTGACCAACATAATCGTGATTATGATTTTTGCCATAATCGAGCAGCCCTAATCTCAGTTATGTAACAGTCAAGATTTAATAATTTTAACAAATTAACCACAAAATCAATTTACCTGCAACAGCTTCTGACATCATCATAATCAGTCATATCGATATCAAACACCAGCTCCTTCTCCAGGGCCTGGAAGGTTCCCGACTTCACCGTGTTGTGCTGATTGGGCTGTGGGCAAAACATAATCAACTTTATCCATAACATATCTGCAGGGGCACAAAAAACTAAGAATGCAAAAGAAGATGCATGCATTCTCACCCTGTGACTGTATATGGCCCCAATGTCGATCTTGTAAGGGTTAATCTTCTGCATCT